TTCCTCTTCTTTAAAGAAAGAACAGCTTTCACCATTTTTGTGGGAGGGAAAAAAAAAAAAAAAGAAGTGTCCTTGAGGGGATAGGATGTTCTAGTTTAATTTTCACTTGCTTCAGTGGCCTTTCCTATTATTTTTGCTGAGGAGAGGGGCGGGTTCTTTGACTCTTCAATTCACATTTGGCAAAGTAAAAGTAAATTAACATACGAAGGCAGCGTTTCTTAAGCGGGGCAGTCATACAAACCACCTCTCCAAAGTAACGTCTGTATCCTCAGCATGCTAGTCATTTTTTCTCCTTAGTAGTCACCCTCCCAAGTCAGAGAGAGCCTTGTCCATCCTTTTCCCCTTCCTCTGGCCCCAGCTGTCAATAGCTACAACTGCTCATGTAGTAATTTAATAATTTTGAAATGAACAGAAACAAAAGAGATAGTGGGTTTGCTGATCCCTTCTCCACAGCGTAAAAAGTGTGGGAGTCTATAAAAAGGCTTCTCATCATCAGATAAAAGCCATTTTTAGATCTTCTTCCTGCCCCCATGGAAAGGTTTGCTGGTGTGTCACTATTTTACAACTTCCTTAGAGTACAGAGTGGCAGGTTTTTATGAAATACCGATTTGAATTCTGTTAAATAATATAAGAGAAAATATTATTTCCTCAGAGTCTTCTCAGACCTACATTCTTGAGCTCATTTATTTTGCAAACATTTCCTGAATACCTACTAAGTGGCAAGCACTAAGTAGCTGCTAGGGAGACAGAGTTTTCAAATCACGTTTACTCTGTCTTCGGAAAGCTCACAGCCTCACACACAGACAAAAGTTATACCCAAAATACAACAGAGGCCAGGGCTGTGGTTTTCAGGGTTGATTTCAAGTTAACCTGGAAAACTCTAAACAAGTGACTACACCGTGATTAATTTCAAAAGCACAAATAGATACTTAGAGAAAAACTTTTAAATAAAAGTAGAGCCCTCTGTCCAGGGTATAATAGTAAAATTTGTGCTTCATGTTTCATATACTTGATTATACTGTATGAAAGTTCAATTCTTTTTACTAAAGATTTTGAACAAACATTATGACAGAGTCTTCCTTTTTTTTTAATTCTGAAAAAGTTTTATTTTTTTTTACAGAGAAAGAACATTATAAATTTACCTGGCTAACACAGATTTACTTAAAAGTGGTCCTCAACCCTATTGGTATTTCAGAGAGCCATTTTGTTTAGTCCCAGATGATACTGTTTTAAAGATAAGTTATAAACAAGGCCTATGATTTATTTGTCTTGGTAAGATAGAATATGATATTTGTACTTTTTTTTTTTTTTTAAGATTTTATTTTTAAGTAATCTCTACCCTCAACATGGGTCTCAAACTTACAACTCCATGATCAAGAATCCCATGCTCTACCAACTGAGCCAGCCAGGTGCTCTGATATTTGTTCTTAATCTTCTAAAAATCATTATTCAACATCAAAGAGGTTGCCCCTCACATTATTTGTAAATAATCTATATCAGTGCCTAACTGCATAAAATAGCAAATTTATTTGCTATTCCCTTTCCATTATTAATCTTAAAATGTGTTCAGTTCAGAAAGTTTGGGAGCCAGATATAGTGGTCATTTTTGAAGGGATGGCAGTTTGATGGGGCGGTATAAACAGACAATACACCCAGTAAAGTTGATAGTTTAAATTGTTTGTATTTGCTTCTTAAGTCACATTTCCCTCCTTTTAAAATTGCTTCATTGTTTAAGTTGTCTTCAGAATTTTAAACTTGTTTTATGCAATGTAACTGAATATTTTAAAATTCATTTTCCTGGGACTTGGTCAACGGAGCATGCAACTCTTGGTCTCAGGGTTGTAAGTTCAAACCCCATGTTGGGTGTAGAGATTACGTAAAAATAAAATCTTTAAAAAAATGTTTTAAATTCATTTTCCTATGCATTTGAAATGGATATCCACTAGCAGACTAAAAGTTTACCTCATTTTGTGGTCTCCTGCATAATATTTGAAGACTTTTAGTGTGGCAATTTGTTATGAAGCTACTGTGAAAAACTAAGAATACTTTTTAAAATGAAAAAAATTTTAAGCTGAAGTAAAGAACTATATTGTTGACATTATTTACATATTTGAAGTAGATTAAAATTTTGGACCTATTCTTTAGCCTAGCTTTTAAAGTAGCATTATGTTTAAAATATACCTTAGTAGGTTATGTACATTTTAACTAAAATCACTATGACTTTGGATTTTAACTTTTCCAGTGTATCCTAATATCCTTAGGTTTAAATGCTTAGAAAATATAATGTGAGGGGCACCTGGGTGGCTCAGTAGGTTAAGTGTCTGACTTCGGCTCATGTCATGATCTCCTGATTGGTGAGTTCTAGCCCCATGTCAGGCTCCGTGCAGACAGCTCAGAGCCTGGAGCCTGCTTCAATTCTGTGTCTCCCTCTCTCTCTCTGTCCCTCTCCCCCTTACACTCTGTCTCTCTCTCCCCTCTCTCCAAAAAATAAATATTTAAAAAATTTTTCAGGGACGTCTGGGTGGCTCATTCTGTTAAGTGTCCTACTTCAGCTCAGGTCATGATCTCGCGGTTTGTGGGTTCGAGGGTTCTGAGCCTGGAGCCTGCTTCAGATTTGTGTCTCCATCTCTCTCTGCCCCTCTCCTGCTCTCTCACTCCCTCGCTCTCTCTAAAAAATAAAAAAATTTAAAAAAAGAAATATAATGTGACTTCTAATTTGCTAATAAGCAAGGTCCTAACCCACAAGTATCAATTTTTATCTGAGAGAAAATACACTAATAGTATTAAAATTATACATATTTGTGCCTGAATATGCTTCACTTTATTCAGTGAACAGTGTAGATTCTGGTGTCACTATTTATCTTTGTAAATAAAGTTATTAGAATTTGAAACTTAGCTGCTATATCTCAGTGTACTTAATGTTAGCTAATTAATAATCACCAAAACTTTGACATCTTAAGCCCCCCTATAAACCATAGGACTCTACCTGGTCTGTCTCATCTGCTTGCTGGCAGTTAGAAACTCGTCATTTTTCTGGGACTATAGTATTAGGTAAGATCTATTTTGAAGATACATGTAGCTTACCAATAAAAAGTCAACAATGTGAATGGCAGTAGATCCCAGTGCCTTCTCTCTAGAACTTTAAACCTAGTGTGTAGATCCCAGTCTCACACCTGATCTCTCTTTGCCCTATAAAATAAGAGGTTAGATTTCCTGGGAAATAATATAGAAAAGTTTTAATTGGTCTAGCAAGGTTTTTTTTAATAAATCTCAAAAATATGGGTTAAGATATATTTTTAACCTATAGTACTATCTAGTAAAACTTCTTGCAGTGATGGAAAGTATGTTTCCATCAGTTCAGTATGGTAGTTCAGTATGTTATGTTCATATGGTAATGTGTGTTCAGTATGGTAGCCATAGTTAGTGCCTACTTTGAATCATAGCTGGTGTGACTTGGGAACTGAATTTTACTTAAAGGTTTTATAAGACAGCACAATGGTAGAACATCCTTGAATTTGACATCTATGTCCCCAGTGGCCTTAAAGGTCCCTTTGTTATTTAAAAACAAACTAGACCTCAATACAGTAAACTGAAAAAAAAAAAAAATCTCTAAATATAGATGTAATGGCAGATACCTTCCCAACATTCTGGAGCATTCTAAATTTATAAAAGGAAAAAGAAAATCAGCCTAATGGTAAGTTTAATCTTGGCTCTTGGCTTTTACATAAAAACCTGGATATAAAATTTAACTTCCCTCAAGAATATATGTGTCTTAACTTATCAAAATTTTAGGCTATATAATAAAATTTTGTGTTTTCTAAACCTCTTCAATTTTTGTTTTCTGTTGAAAGAGCAATTATTTTTTAAAAAATTCAAATAGTCATAGACAAAATGCAAAACTGACTTCTCACAAATGGTTTCTCGTAAAACCCTAGGGCACTAAGGGGATTAATTCCTCCTTCCCCATTCTGAACGTGTACTATTTAAAAATCCCCCATGGTTGTACATGTTTTTGACCCATTATTAGAGTATCTTTTTCCCTGAAGGGTTAGAGCTACTTACTGACTGACCACTCCATCTTTTATAGAGAAAAGCATCACCCTTTGAAAGCATTTTCCCCTTTAAAACTCATTTAAATTACATTTAAGAAACATCCATTATTACCCTTCCAGGGAATGTTATTTTTCACTGGGCGTTACACCAAGATTAATCATCTCTGCCTATCAAGAAGCACAGATTTGATTAAATCAGCCAAGGACATTAAATCCCAGCCTTACTCACTCTGGTGACCATACGGAGACTGAGTTGAGGAAGAATTTGTAAAAGTATCATTCGGTTAAAATTGCATGCCTGTCTCTTTAAATCTAAAAAAAAAATCCTTTCAGAAGCTGTAGAGAGAAGGTGCTAGAACTGTGTACGATCATGACTGGAAAGCAGGATCCCTCAGTGACTGCCGAATCTTCCCAGCACAAGATAGAGAGGCAGTTCAGCACAAGCCTACACTGATTCTAGGCAGAATGATGATCCTACCGAACAGATCTCAAATAAAATTAAATTGAGAAAGCAGATCTTTCAAGGGAATGAGGCGGAGGCTCGCTTTTATGTTAAAAGCAACCAGCATCCTCCTTGCTAGACATGGACATGACATTTTTAAAGGAATTATTTGGTTACAGCGTTTTAAGCAAACCGTTCTAAGGAGTCTGTACATTGCATTGTTTTTTCTATTCTTTTTTTCTTTTGCATATATGTAATTCTGGAGGTAAAGAAAAAGCCTGCCAGGGATTCAGAAGGCATCCCACTAGCGATCAGCTGACATTCCTAACTGAAGGCTGCAATGTGTTGCTTATTCATTTTGTACCGTGGGAGCTGCGGGGACTAGCAGAGAGCTAAACTATGCATTTCAAACAGCAGTGCTTGTGCAGAAAGAGGGGTGAGAGAGAGGCAGCCGGCGAGGAAAGAGCACAGCTGGACTTTCTCCTTGTTTTTATCCATTTCTGCAGGATCATGTATTCATAAGGGATGAGGCGGGCCACGGCGATCCCAGGCCTGAGCCGCGGCCTACCCAGTCAGTTCAGAGCCAGGCCCTCCACTACCGGAACAGAGAGCGCTTTGCCACGATCAAATCAGCATCTTTGGTAAGCAAACACCCCTCTACCCACCTTCCCTTCCTTCCCCTCCTCCCCATCTGGCAGCCTCTCGCCCTCCCTGAGCCTCTCTCGGCTTCATGGATGGGAGGAAAGGAGTCAAGAATGTTTTCTCCCTCCTAATAATTTTATTCATTTTAGAAAAAAATCTGTTGGCATGGCAACCTGATCTCAGATATTTTAGCATTGTCTACGGCATGGAAAGAAAAAAAACCTTTGTGTGTTTGTGTGTGTGTGTGTGTGTGTGTGTGTGTGTGTGTATTTATATATGCTGTATGTGCAAAATAAAAGGCCTCTAAGATGAAGTTGCTAACCTATCCAGTTTTTTAAAAGCTATTTGTCTTTTCATTGAAATGATAAATGCTAAAAAAATTTTTAAGGTATTTGATGGATGTGTATGCAGGGCCCTATGCTTCCTTTTGTATAGATGCATGTGTGTAATGTATACACACACATGAGAAGATAAAACATATTTTTTTAAAAATATATCATTGCTGGTTAATGTATGTAATTGTAGAAAATAAGGTACTAGCTTCCTAGGGACGAATTGCTGGTTCGTTCTGGTTCATTCATTTATTTATTGCAACAATGGTAGTGGCTGCACTTCCCCATTTAACCCCTGAAGAATTTCCTGGCACCAATAAAGCAAGAAGGGCTTTGTAGAAGAGGATGGGGATGGTTGTGGAAGAAAAGATACTGTAGGATCCTTCACCATTTTTACTATTGCAAATGTGATTGCTGGATGCCCTTGTAGTAGCAAAAGGGGTGTGTGCTGGAAGAGTTAGTTTTCATGCCTCCTCCCCTTGGCCCCCCACGCGTGCGCGTGCGCACTCACATACTCACACACACACACTCACACCGCTTCATCCTTGGCACTCTAAACTCTCTTTAATCTTTTGCTTCCAAATCTCACGTCATGGCCAAAAAATTATTGAAATATTCATTGTTTTGCCCAGATTGATGCTAGAGGTCACATGGGCAGGGAGAGTTAGTGTACACTGCCTGGCTATTACATTTAGAACCTAAGATGACATCATCCGAGGCCGACCCAGAAATTATTTTTCTTGTCCTATTTTTTAAGCCTGATTTCCACTTTTCTCTCTCAAGTCTTTCAAGAGCTTCGGTTATCTTTGGAATGGGTAATGGATGTTAATCTTAAAAAAAAAAAAAAAAAAGAAAAGAAAACAAATATAAGGAAAATGGAAGTTAAAGCCCCTACATATTGCCATGCCTGCTGCTGTCTAAAAGCCAGCAATTTAATTGAGACTCCTTATCAATAAGCCTGCCTTTAAGTTCCTTTGTAGAGAAGTTTCTTGTAATCTTCTTAATGGGCAGTTCCTCATTTTAAATGAATGTTATACAATGTAATAGAGAGCTAAAAATGTCCACTCTGTATTTGCTAATGATTGCTAAGCACCTAAAAGACATGCTTTTGAGTCTAAATAAAGCATCATGAATTTATTAATAAATAGCTTCATGTTATGATGCCTGACCAACAAATATGGTATTTATGTAATATTATTACTTACCACCGACTCTTGCGAGACTTGTGTCTCTATCCAGACATGCTTATGTTGTAATAAGAGGAGAAATGGTGAGCAGCCACTGAGACTCAGAGCACCAGAAGCAGGTTTTGAATGTGAAACAAACATTGTACCAAGTGGATTTTCCCCCTCTGGGACAGGTTCTCTTCTTTTGTCACCTGCCACACCCTCATTCTCACATCACATATTCATGACCTCTCCTACCTCCAGTACGATGTTACTCCTGCCATGCCACAGTGATCTGAAGCTCACATTTGTGCCTATCAGCCATCACAGTCTTCTCTGTGGTTAATGAAAGCTGCTTCCCTGCTAGACCACCTCAGGGCTATGGACAGAGTCCCCAAGAACCCCTCTGGATGTTATAGGCTTCCTAGTGCCCAGCCAGAGAACGGCTGAGATCAGTCTCTGATGGACTTTGGATTTGCTAAAAGGCTCCCTGCCCCCATATTAAGTGAAAAACTGAGTAGCTGATAGGCTGTTGCAGTGGCCACAAAATAAGTTGTTCTATGTCGAAAGCCCTGTCCAGATGTAATGCTTTGGGAGACATGGTGAGATTGATGGACGTTATTAGAGGTCAGTGGTATTTGTATCTAGTGGTTTTTAAAGAAGAAAAATGAAGCAATAGAAGGGGAAAGTGGTATGATGTTATACAGTTCCGTGTCTCATTTTGGACAATCTAATTATTGGTATGGATATTCTAGTGCATCGTATCAAGTACTACGGTTCCACTGCCTATGTTGTTTTAAAGGCTAATCCCAATAGTCCAATAGGAATATATAAATCAGGACACTGGAATATCAAAAGGAAGTATCCAAATTGTAAAAGCATATCATGAATCTTACTGCTTTTCAGGGATTTCAGCTCAAAGGAAAAGGACTAAAGTTACTTAAATGACATAAAAGTAGGTGCAAGATACTGAGAAAATAAAAGTCCAGTGTAACAGACAATCAAGTCACTATTGAGACCTCCCTTCCCGTCCCATAATTGGTAGCAATACTATGTTGATTGATTGATTTTGGTTTTACTCTTTACAGTCTTTCTAAACAGAAGTGCTGACAAGTCGCAGGGTGTTTCAAAAGTGAACAGCAAAAAGAAAAAAGAATTTAGAAATTATGTTTCAGTTATTACATAAATAAATAATGAGTTCATATTTCAGATAGATTTGGAAACTGTGACCAAAAAACTGTATATTCTTTACATTTGTTTGATCAGCCTACCTCTTCTACATAAACCTAAAAGAGGCCTACATCTGTGGGTTTTGCCCTTGGCATTTTTTGGTACATTGTGCTCTTGAATGGGGTTATGGACCAGTGTCCACAGCCCATGGGCTACAGGCTTTTACTGCTAGATGTTTTTACCATTTTGGCCCCTTAACACTGAGATTTTTGTGTTCTTATGCACCGCTGCACAATTAATTACATTTGTTACAAAGAAAAAACAAGGACTGCGAACCTTGACAGCAGAAAAAACCCTGAGAAAACTTTAATATCAGGTATATTTGTATTATAATCATTGAAGGGAAGAGATGATTGACCTTATTTTGAAAAACTAGGAAAAGGAAGGGCATTTCATGGAACCTGTTTTATTTCATCCTTTCTTTTTCTTCTCCTGGAAGAAAGTTCATTTTGGACTGATTCATTATTCGGGGAAAGGAGTTGTTTGTATAGTTCTTCAGAATTACTCATCTGATTTATTGGACCTTTGAGATGTGCCTTCCTTAAGTTTTTATTATTGGTGAATGGAGATCCTAATATTTTAATTGGGTTAGTAACCCATGAGAGTGTTTTCAGCTGTCATTACATCTGATGTCATTTGTTAAAATTTCATAATGTCCGGGGTCATATGGTAGTTCCAATAGTCAAGATGTTAATGAAAAGAGCACCAAGGCCATGTCTATCAGACAATTCAGCTTTTGGTCTTCTGAAGGAATTCTCAGTGGAATGAGTGGTCTTACTGCACAGGTGAATTTATGTTTAGAATACACATTCAGGCTAGGCGCCAGGGTGCCTGGCTGGCTCAGTTGGTAGAGCATGTGACTCTTGAGCTTGGAGTTGTGAGATCAAGCCCCATGTTGGGCGTAGAGCCTACTAAAAAAAAAAAGAATAAGGTAAAGCACGTAGGCAAAAATGATTATCGTTCTGTCCATGCAAACAAATATGAATTGTTTTACTTTGGTTTTATCAGATTTAGTAGAAAAGCTCATATAAAAATGGAGTCTTCGTTTTGATTTTAAAAACACAACCTAATTTTCAGCTAATTGTGGGCTTGGGTACCTGAATGACTTGGATAGACAAGCAAAAAAATATTAGAGCCTCCACAGTAAATGCTGTTTCACCTCACATCAGCCCGGCTGTTCTATTTCTAAATGCTTGAAGATGTGTCCTCTTCCTGGATAGTGGAAGTGTACCAGAGAATGCTTATCAGAATCTTGTGTAGCTCCTCTTTCCTTTTTCTTAGCTTCTTAATCTCACTAAGATCATTACGGATACCATTTTTCACTTATGCTGCCCAGTCTATATGCCCAACCCACATGACTAGACTCTCTCAACAAACAGGTTGAGTGAATGAATGAACAAATGAATGAGTGAAGTCTCTCCCAGTCCTGCTATCACATGAGAATTTGGATTTGCAAGTGTACATTGCAAAGCTCTTCATGCCAGTGTTTATGTATAAGGCAGAATTGCCTGTTATCCATCATTACTTTTGGTATGAACTTAAAGTGTTTTTCCCTTAGGCATTCTAAAGAGTGGGATGTCAAATCTCTAATGTCAAAATGTGACCCACTGTATTATTTTTAATAACTCGCTATAAATTTCATTTATTCTAAGAGCTGACGTGGCCAGTTTTATCATACGTATTATTTTGATTCTTACACATAATTAATCGTGGACGTCGGATTTGATCTCTTAAGAGGGTAACATTATCACCACTATGTTCCTCTTTTATGTTCAGTATGTTGCTTATTAGCCCTCTAGTGCAGTGTTTTGCACTTGGTAGGTAGATAGTACACTTTGGATGAAGTAGTGTGTTTTAGGCCCAAATTTTTGCTGGAATTAAATAGTACTTAGTGGAATGAAATGGCTGTAGAAATTTTCTGGAAAACGTTCAGTCTTCCTTTATGGCTCTTAACTTGTATATCTCACTCCAGGTATGTGAAATGGTTAATAATTCAGATTCATAAATTATACATACTTATTTTATAAGCCACAACCTGGATACAAGTACAGTTTTATTGTTAAACTTGCCCTTTCTCTTGGATCCACTTCTTCTGATCTATGTCCGCATCACTAGAAATGCTTGGTGGAGGGGAAGAGAGACATACTGCTTCAGACCCTGGCAGGACAAGAAAGGAAATCAGCGTATATCAAACATCTTCTGTGTGTCAGACACCTTTCTGGGCACAAGTGTTATCCCACTGGTGATCTCAGCATAGCAGTGGCTGCTCGTGGGAGACTTCAAGAGGTTAACTAATTTGGCCAAGGTCAGTTATATAGTAAGAGAGAAAATGAGATTTGTGTCCGAGGAACCTGCTGGGCATGGCAAGATGCTATCAGTCGATCACAGTTTTGAAACTAACATTATAAAAACTACTACAGTCACTACATTTCTATAACTTTCTCTCATTTTTAGACTAATTCAGCTTGGGGGCGCCTGCGTGGCTCAGTCAGTTGGGCGGCCGACTTTGGCTCAGGTCATGATCTCACGGTTCATGGGTTCAAGTCCTGCGTCGGAATCTGTGCTGACAGCTAGCTCAGAGCCTGGAGCCTGTTTCAGATTCTGTGTCTCCCTCACTCTCTGACCCTCTTCTTCTCATGCTGTCTCTCTCTCTCAGAAATAAATAAAATGTTAAAAAAAAAATAGACTAATTCAGCTTGTAACTTAGACTTCCCACTCTCTCCAGCTTTGACCTTTTTGGGTGTTGATTCCTTCCATTACTTAATAACAGAAAGTTTCATTCTTTTCTGCCTTGGTGAGGTGAATTTCCTCAGGCAATTCAAGAACCATCGGATCTCCGAGGTTCAAATCCGAGGCTTTATAAAAAGTAAAGAGGTAAATTGCATGTGTGAGTACATTGTAAAACATATACCATGATAAAATTTTAAATTATGAGCAATGTTTTTTATTCTACTCATCAAATAGTGTTTTTGTAAGACACTCTATATAAACTTAAAACATGAAGGGGTACATACTGTAGATAAAAACATTTCTGTGTTTCAAGTTAGACTTCATACATGAAACACCTGGCCATACTTTTATTTAACTTTGTCTACTTTGCTCGAATATGGAATTCTAAAACTTAGTATCTCTCTATGTGCCCAAGAAGGCAGTCACATTGAAACATAGAAAGTTTTGTTGCAACAAATGGAAGGTGATATTAGGATTTTAAGATGGTGATTATCCAAATACCGAGAAGCATTTAGAAGCAAACAGTTTCTCCTGAAACTCAGGGAAGTACAGTGATAGCTTTGTAATTTGTCTTTGCCACATACTTGTGTGATCTGGTGTTCAGTGTAACCACCCTTTTCACAGGCACTCACCCACCAGTTAGGAAAGAAAATGTTCCTGATGCAACTCATTTCCATTTTATCTTTAGGTGCCTGGTCTAGGGAAACAGCCATCCTGAGACCATTTGACCACAAGCTAGTCAGACATCCTGCTGGCGAGTTTTAAATGTGTCATGATAGCTTTAGGGTGTGCCGTGCCTCAGCTTTGGGAATCTAATTAAAGAAGGAATACTAACACAAGAAAAAATAAGTTTAGGGATAATACATACCTCAAATGCATCACCCTAGAACAGACACTTTACTGCTATAGTTGTATGAAAAACAAGTAAATTCAGAAAGGACTAAATGGGATCCTTTTGTTGATTGGAATTGTTTTTTTTCCTGATAGTTGAACTTCAGGAAGGCACGCACATGAAGAAGTGAAATATACACATGTATTTCAACCGGCTTCTTTCTCTCCTTTTATCATGAAATAAGTCCATTAAAAAGAAACATGATGTTGTGATGACAAAATAAATTTCCTTTAGAGTGTGAGGTGCCCCTTTGGTGATGCTTTCCTTTTTTTTTGGTCTTGAAATATCTTCTCCTCTTATTCTTCATACTTTAAAGACGGTTGTCCTTTAGAAAAGAGAAATGAAGGGGCACCTGGGTGGCTCAGTGGGTTAAGCACCCGACTTCGGCTCAGGTCATGATCTCACGGTTCGTGGGTTCAAGCCCCGCGTCGGGCTCTGTGCTGACAGCTCAGAGCCTGGAGCTGCTTCAGATTCTGTGTTTCCCTCTCTCTCTGCCCCTCCCCTGCTCATGGTGTCCTTCTCTCTCCCAGAAATAAATAAAAAACATGTTTAAAAATTTAAAAAAAAAAAAAAAAGAGAAATGAATATGAAACCTAGTGTTAGTTTCAGCTGGAAAGGTTTCAAAGTTCGGCTAATGTTTAATGGTATACTTTGATAATACCATCCAGTTACAGAACAGCCCTTTCTTGATAGTCAGGACTCAGTCTGGTATGCAGGGACACCTTCTAAAAGGATCAAAGAAACAAACTGTTCTTTGTACAAAATGCAGTTTGACCCATAAACTGAAAATAGTGAAGAGAATTAATAGCAGCATGAAAATTTCTAGTAAAACTTGTTTGAGGGTTAGATTGGGGAGAATTTGGCTTATAGTAGAAGACAGAAGTGACTAAATCACTAGAGATAAACAAAGCTGAAGCCCTAATTTTGTAATTAATTTTTCCCCTAAAATAGGAAAGATGAGAATGAAGTGAGCAGAGAATCTAAAAGGAAAATAAAGAGGGGTGACAGATTGAAGGAAGGAGTGGAAAATCAGAAAATAGATTCTTTCTTAATAGAAAGAAACAAGAGATGCCAGAATTTATATTTGCAATCTTGTATTTGCTGGATACTCACTTGAGTTAAGGAAAATTTACTAAGAAAAGTAGCCACCTAAAAATAATAGAAATGCTTTTTCTCCTTTAGGAGAGCAAGTAAATAAGTAAATAAATATACTGTAATTTGCTAACATCTCTTTGGGGGGAAGGGGAGGTGAGAGACAGAGGATTTAAAAGAAGAGAGTGCCCTATCTGTCTGTCTGTCTGTCTGTCTCTATCTCTCTCCTTTCACCCCCCACATCACCCACATGCCTATTAAGAATCAGGAATAAATCTTGTTCAACTTTAGGAATATACTCAAAATTCCTGTTAGAGACGTGATCTTTAAAAACAAAGAAAGGGTCTGATATAATGCAGTGGTCTTCAACCAGAAGGATTTTACCCCCCAAGGGACATTTGCCAATGTCTACAGACATTTTTGATAGTCTTCACTTGGAAAATGTACTGGCATCTAGTGGGTAGGCCAGGGATGTTGTTTAATATCTTACAGTGCAAGGCCAGCTCTTCAATGAATTATCTGGCTCATTGTCAATAGCGTCAAGGTTGAGAAATCCTGGAGTAGTGGAAATAGCATGACTCTGGAACCAAACAGACATGGGTCTGAGTCCCAGCTCTATGCCTTATTAGCTATATGACCTTGAGGATACGTATAATGATACATCAAAAATACATAAACACAGTTTGGCTGAATGAATAAACGAATTCCCTCAAGTCTCAATGTCTTCAATGGGGGTGGTAACACCTACCTCATTAATAAGTAAAATGAATGAGTGAATGAGATGGTTTTCAGGATTAGGGGTCAAGAATATAAAGAGCACACAAAACAGCGCCGGGGTGCAAGGTGAGCATTCAGCAAATAGGTAAATTGACAGTAGCAATGATAGAATTATACCAGAGGGCTCCTCTACTTTGCTTGAAAGTTTGTCTTCCATGAATCTGGTTACCTGAGTTCTGTTCCCCACCCCAAATCAGGTTACACGCCAGATCCATGAGCATGAGCAGGAGAACGAGTTGCGGGAACAGATGTCAGGTTATAAGCGGATGCGGCGCCAGCACCAGAAGCAGCTGATCGCCCTGGAGAACAAGCTGAAGGCTGAGATGGACGAGCACCGCCTCAAGCTACAGAAGGAGGTGGAGACGCATGCCAACAACTCGTCCATCGAGCTGGAGAAGCTGGCCAAGAAGCAAGTGGCTATCATAGAGAAAGAGGTCAGTGCGCGCACACGTGCCTTGTGCCGTCGCCGGGCCAAGCCTGCTCCGGCCTCACGCAAGCAGGACGCAGGAGTGCCGTGCTTTTTTGGTGACGGAGGAACAGTGTTGCTTGGTGGTGGTAGCTGAGAGGAGTTCGGTTTTGTGGGGCTGCTCAAAATTGTCAGCAAAAGTTAAAATACTTTTAAAATGTTACATTCTTGCCTATGCAAATGCGTTCCAAGAGTCAGTCCCTTGAGGGGGTCGGGATACAAATAAAAAGAAACTAGATGCTTCTGTCCTAAGGAAACTTGCAGAGTTAGGACCTGCCACTGTGGCTGCCACACCCACAGTCCTCTTCGAAAGAAAACTGCCCTACAAACAGTCCCTTTTAGTGGTGACAATCCCTGGCCACACTGGACGAGGAATGGGCACCCGACCAGTGGCAGCGGGTAATTAACCTGGCTATTGCTTATGTCTTTTAGGAGACATCTCTCTTCCCCATCCAGGTTCTCAGCCGACTTTTAAAACAAAGAGAGTAAGGCAGAGAGTCCAAATATGACTTTTATTATGGATAGGTGTTAACTGGGAGAAGTGATTTATGTCTGAAGGGAAATGCATTAATAATACAGTACAAAACTAAACAGACTCGCCTGTCTAGGTACTGGCAGTGCCTTCCGCGCCACCCCCTGGAAGACTTACATAGTGTGGGAAAACGGGGCCAACACGTGCTCCCTGGGGATGGAGTGACTGGGGACAGAGTGCCAGGGGTGTCTCGGTAGTTAAGCTCTTCTCCACGTGGAAAGGAACGTCAGAACTACAGAAGCGCCTTTCCTGCAACAGCCATCAAGCTGTGAGGCAGCCTGGCCTGAAAACCGCTGCCCAAACAGGGATGGTATTGATTAAATAAACCAGTCAGACTCTTTCTTGGGGATTTGGTTTGGTAAAGATGTAGAGAGAACTGTTACTAATGAGAAAATTGTTGATAACGGAAGCTAAAGGTGACAAGATTCATAAAGAGACCCGGGAAACATAACCCTCTCCCTGAATCCTAAGTACCTGATCTTACATATGTGCTGATATAATGGTCCCCTGAAACCTAGATTTGGTCACTTTCAGGAGCCAGTGTTTTTGGCATTATCTTTTATTTGGTCTGTGTTCCATCCATTTGGGAGCCTCCAAAATGTCCCAGTATCTGAGTGTTGTGGATTATAGCAGGTGCCTAAGAAAACAAAATGTTATTAGCTTTGCCTATTATACTAGAGACAGATGACCCTGCCAGGAAATCTAAAAGTTGAAATAATTAATCAATTACAGCCAGATTCTTGGAATAAAACTGGCCAGTCATAGTTATTTATCCATTTTTATAACTTAACCTGTGGGCTACCTACAATTCAAAAAGAAAAAAGCACTTTTATTCCTTAGTTCACTTTTCATCCCATGTATTTTGTGTGTGTTCAATAAAATGTGTTTATGGCTTACCTTCATATTTTTCCCATAATTTAGAATATGTTTTTCAATGGTAAAAATTTCCATTTTTTTAAGATACAAGAGAATCAGAGCAGGCATTTCCTTATTTTGTTTTTTATTAGTTATTTGTTCAAAAAACATTATATTATTCAGCACTTATGGACTCTTTTCATGCATTGGAGAATATGGACAACTGAATTCTGTGTGAAGAACAATTTATCCTAGATCGTATATTGTCATTTCATCAGGCAAAGGTAGCTGCAGCAGATGAAAAGAAGTTCCAGCAACAGATCTTGGCCCAGCAGAAGAAAGATTTGACAACTTTCTTGGAAAGTCAGAAGAAGCAGTATAAGATTTGTAAGGAAAAAATAAAAGAGGTAAGAGTACCAATAATTATCATCACCAAGTTGCCTTTAAAATGGTTGGAACCTAAGGGCCACCTGGCTGGCTCGGTTGGTGGAGTATGTGATTCGTGATCTCTAGGTTATCAATTCAAGCCCCACGTTGGGTGTAGGGATCACGTAAAAATAAAATCTTTAAAAAAAAAATGGTTGAAACTTAAAATTGATTAATCTTACATTGTGATCAACAATCTAAATCATTGTTTCCTTTTTTTAATGTTTATTTATTTTTGAGAGAGAGAGAGAGACAAAGTGTGAGCAGGGGAGGGGCAGAGAGAGAGGGAGACACAGAATCCAAAGCAGGCTCCAGGCTCTGAGCTATCAGCACATTGTGGGGCTCGACCTCACAGACCACGAGATCATGACCTGAGCCGAAGTCAGACGCTTAACCGACTGAACCACCCAGGTGCCCCTCATCCTCAAACTTTCTATTACCTAAAGTACTTATTAAAACAGATTGCTAACTCACCCCTAGATTTTTTTTTTTTTTAATTTCTGGGAGAGAGAGAGAGACTGTGAGCAGGGGAGGGTCAGAGAGAGAGGGAGTCACAGACTGAAACAGGCTCCAGGCTCTGAGCTGGCAGTCAGCACAGAGCCTGACGCGGGGCTCGAACCCGCGAACCGTGAGATCACGACCTAAGCGAAAGTCGGACGCTTAACCGACTAAGCCACCCAGGCGCCCCTCACCCCTAGATTTTCTGATTCACTAAATCCGGGTGGAATCTGGGATGTACATCTCTAGCAAGTTCCCAAGTGATGCTGATGCTGCTAGTCCAGGAATCAGACTTTTTTTTAATGTTTATTTATTTTTGAGAGAGAGAGAGAGAGAGAGTGTGTGTGTGTGTGTGTGTGTGTGTACGTACAATCAGGGGAGGGGCAGAGAGAGGGAGAGAGACAGGATCTGAAGCAGGCTCCAGGTTTTGAGTTGTCACCACAGAGCCCGATGCAAGGCTCAAACCCACAAACCGTGAGATCATGACCTGAGCTGAAGTCAGATGCTTAACCAACTAAGCCGCCCAGGCGCCGCCAGGCATCACATTTTAAGAACCACTGATCTGACTCTAAAGCATTCTTGCCTGCGTCCAGCTTATTCCTCAGCCACTTCAGCCAGAGTGATCTGTTCAAAGTCTCATCATATCACCTCATGATTTTAACTTTTGTTGGCCTCCCATTGCTCATAGGATAAATCAAAATACTAGAAACTGCTAAGTGATCTGCCACCAGCCTCCCCTCCAGTGTCACCTCACACCACTGTTCCCCGACCTGTTTTCTCGACCCCTGACTCTTCGCTGCTCCTTCCACAATGGTCACCTTTTGGTTCTTCAGATGCATCAGGTTCCGCTTTTCTCCAAGCTCTTTAGGGAAGACTGTTTCTTCCACCAGGATGTTCTCCCCACCCCCACCCTCAACCCCTAAACTTTCCCTCTGCTCTTAATTCATACTCCCCCTCCTTGTAAGACTTAGGATTGTTTATTACTACCTCAACTAAAACATCATTTCCCCCTGGAAGACTTTCCTGACTGCCTCAACCAAGACAGGTTTCTCTGGTTTCATAACACTAGTTTTCAACTGTCCTTCCCCCTCACCCCGAACCCCACCCCCATGATTGTATCCGTGCACCTGCTACATGTGAATCTCTGATAAATTAATGACTGATTCTTGAAAGTTGGTTGCGGGCCACTAGTGGACATGGAGAGTCCTCCTGAGGAAATGCAATTGGACCTGAAAGCTCACATTTCTTCAGTTCTCCCCCCAACCCCCAGTGCTTATAGGTGAATTGCCTACAATCCCCTAGACTTTCCTTCTCATAAGACTTAGGATTTCTGATTTGTAGACTACTGGTATATTAAGATTTAATATAATATGGGACATTTTTTCAGTATGTGATATTATTTATTTGAGCTCATAGTCTCCATTAACAATATGGGACTTAGCAAGGTTCCTCGCCAATTCTTTTTTAATTAGGAAGTGAAAGCAAGTGGGTGGGGGTGTGCCTCAGGATCTTTAGTCCTGCCCAGATGAGCCACTGGTGCTTGTTAAGACGGACAGAAATTTGTATTTAATCCCCACTGCCCACCTGGGAAAAATCTCTGACAACATAAGGTCTAGAAAACCAGGCTGTAGGGAGAAATAGCCCAACTAAGAAGGTTCAAATTCTGTCCATTTTCTCTGAGTTACTGCTTAAGCCTAATTCTTACATCATGATGGAAAGATGTTTCTGGATCGCAAAGATAATATTGATTTTTCACCAAGGAACTTTGAACTGTTCTCATTTGCAGTTACATTCTGATTTCTAAGACCATGCATTTTATTCACACTCTGCGGCCATACTTTGTGACTGCAGCCACCATTCTGATCTATTCTAACACTAAGGTATTTGGAGATTGCATGAACTCAACCTGTAGAAGATTCTCCCACAGAACAGCATTCGAGAATCCTCTCTCAGTCCTCAGGCATAGGCTATTTTTGGTACTCAGATTTATGAGTGCAGGAAACCACAGGCCTAAACCTATAAGTCTTTCAACATGCTCAAAACAAGCCTCAACTCAGTTTGAGATAGCCTCAATAAGCCTTTCTGTGCAAAGCTAATCCTACCCTTTATGAAGTAAAGCTTAGTTCTGACTATTTAAGGTGGTCCATATATTTAGATATTGATATATTAAAGGTACTGCCCTTAGGAGGACAGGACAATCTCCATTATCCTCACTGATAGACGATGGGGATGCTGGCAATACAGGATGATAGGTGGTCCAGAAACAATTTATTCTTGATTTTAGAGTGAGATTTGTTTGTGTTTTTTTTGTTTTTGAGAGAGAGCGAGCATGCTCTGGTGAGGAAAAGAGCAAGCACTAGTGGGGGAGGGGCAAAAGGAGAGTGAGAGAATTCCAAGCTGCCTCCATGCTTAGCATAGAGCCTGATACAGGACTCGATCCCACAATTGTGACGTGATGACCTGAGCCAAACTCTAGAGTCAGATCCCCAACCGACTGAGCCACGCAGGTGCTCGTGGAGTACATTTTTATGGTCACATTTGAATTCGGGTGTGCAGTGTAGTGGTTAATGCTAAACCTAGTAGTGAAGTCATGGCATCAAGAGGTGAGTCACCCGGCCTTCTTGTTGGGATCCCAGTTTACTCCACGCTCTAGACAGCTTTCTCCCTTGTTGACTCTGCTATTTCACTTCACTGGCACAGGGAAGTTGAAAATTGATTTACAAGGATTTCTTGGCGAAGTGCAAAAACACTCTAAGAAGTGTTGATGTCCAAATCACAAAGCATTAAGTAAAATAGATATTAACATTTAAAGGAGATTTTCACTGAGTAGCTAACCCAGTCTTATACATCAAGTTTGTCAGAATGAACAGTATAAACAAAAAAGAGTGTACTGTGCTTTCTCGAAAAATGATCTTCTTACTTCCTCCATAGAGTAAAGTAACATCTTCTTAAGTGTTCTGATTCCTGCTTTCTTCTCTTTACCCTCATGGTCTAGAGTAGTTATGAATATTGTTGGTTGGAAATATAGGTGGTTCATTTATCCTCTAATACCAAATAAAGGATATTTTTTCCTGGGGCACCTGGGTGGCTCAGTAGGTTAAGCATCTGACTTTGGCTCACGTCATGATCTTTTGGTTCGTGGGCTCACGCCCTGCATTGGGCTCTGCACTGACAGTACAGAGCCTCCTTGGGATTCTCTCTCTCCCTTTCTGTTCCTCCCCTGTGCGTGCATTTGCACTCTCTCTCAAAATAAATAAAATTAAAATGAATGCTTTCTGAAACTTAAACAAGTGACATTTGCAGAGTTAACTACTGTCCGTGAAATCTGTCCACTTCTCCTAGCCTTGTCTTCTTTACCTTTTCTCCATGTGGCAGCAAGTAATCTTTTTGAGATGCATTTTATCCTGTCATCCCCACATGTATAAAATCCTTTTCTCCTGTGCTACAGATCAGTGTCCTTAACTTGGCCTGTAAGGCCTCTGATGGTCTGCCTCAGCTCATGTCACACTGCACCCACTACCCTGGGCCTTCTCTCCGTTCCTCAGTTGCACCATGTTTCAAATAACCCACCCAATTTAGCACATGCTCTTTCCTCTACCCAGAGTTTTCTCCCTTCTTCTTTTTCACTGGTTAGCTCCTACAAGTTTTTCAAACTTCAGCTTAATTGTTACCAAGATCAAATATACTCTTAAAAAATTTTTTTAATGTTTATTTTTTTTTTTTTTTGAGAGCGAGAGAGAGAGATGGAGACAGAGTGTGAGTTGGGGCGGGATAGAGAGAGAGGGGGAGGGTCAGAGAGAGATGCAGACAGGCTCCAGGCTCTGAGCTGTCAGCATGGTGCCCAATGCGGGGCTCGAACCCACGAACCATGAGATCGTGACCTGGGCTGAAGTCAGACGCTTAACCGACCGAGCCACACAGGCGCCCCTGTATGTGTTCTTTTATTTTTTTTTTAATTTTTTTTTAATGTTTTAAGAGACAGAGAGAGACAGAGCACAAGCCCAGGAAGGGCAGAGAGAGAGAGAGAGAGAGACAGAGAGAGAGAGGGAGACACAGAATGTGAAGCAGGCTCCAGGCTCTGAGCTGTCAGCATGGTGCCCAATGCGGGGCTCGAACCCACGAACCATGAGATCGTGACCTGGGCTGAAGTCAGACACTTAACCGACTAAGCCACCCAGGCGCCCCGCCCCTCGTATATGTTCTTTTAAACATCCTTGTGGAACCTGGTACTCCACCTTGATGGCAGCTATGGCAGTAGTTTTCGGTCCATTTCTCTGGTTTGTTGACTAACTACTGATTCCAGACTGTGAAGCCCCATGATGGTGGTTATCATGTTCTCTTGCTCACCATTGTATCCTTGTGCCTTGCACACTGCCTGTCACATAATAAGAACTCAATAAGTGTATGTTGATTGAATGAGTGAGCCAGTTGTTTCCAAGGATGAGAAGCCAGAGACGTGGAAAATAGCAAGCCTCCCTGGCACTTAGAAATCAGCACTCAAAAGTTGGGAGGGAGGGATTACAGCACCCAGTCTTCCTGTCCTTATTCTCAGGTGCTCTCCCAGTAATTTCATCTACTATCGCAATAAACTATTAGTTCCTTTGCTTGATGAGACCAGCATGTTGTTTTTTTTTTCTTTTTTTATGAAGGAAATGAACGAGGACCATAGCACACCCAAGAAAGAAAAGCAAGAGCGGATATCCAAGCATAAAGAGAACTTGCAGCACACACAGGCTGAAGAGGAAGCCCACCTTCTCACCCAGCAGAGACTGTACTACGACAAAAACTGTCGTTTCTTCAAGCGGAAAATAATGATCAAGCGGCATGAGGTGGAGCAGCAGAACATTCGGGAGGTATTTATTATGCTCATGACTGTCATCACCGACTGACGTGACAGTAAGCTTTGTGAGGATCATGACTGTCTGTTCTGTCCGTCCTTATATCCCTCACATTTATAGTCTTTTTTTTTTAATGTTTATTTATTTTTGAGAGAGAGACAGAGTGCCAGCGGGGGAAGGGCAGAGAGAGAGAGTGAGACACAGAATTCAAAGCAGGTGGCAGGCTCTGAGCTGTCAGCACAGAGCCTGGCACGGGGCTCGAACCTACCAACCTCAAGATCATGCCCTGAGCCGAAGTCAGACACTCCACCGAATGAGCCACCCAGGTGCCCCACGTTTATAGTCTTTAGTGCCATGCCTGACCCAAAGCAGCTATGCAAAAGTAGCCAGGGAGTGAATTCACCAGTGAGAAGAAGAAAGCCCATTTATAGAACGACGAATCAGCTTTTTCCAAATAAACATAACAGAGTTTTATCGAACACCTATCATAAGCCGTATAATGCAGCGGAGAATCAAAAGAAGTACTTAAAGTAGAGAATTTCTGCTTTCAGCCTGCTTGTCAGACACTTGCCTTTTTGTGGCTCCACGTGAAACACGAAGTGACAGTATGATGCTCTACAGTTAAGTCATTCAGTCATCCGGCGCTGCCTTAGTGCGAGGCACGGTGCTGGTGATGCCAGGGCTACCGAGGAGCTATACTTCCGGCCTTCGAGCAGCCCTGAGTCAAAGAGGAAAAACAGACAGGTAACAGGCTAGTTACAGTGTAACGTGTCAGGTACCACAGTGGACATATAAATGAAGTGTCCTGGGAATACAGCCATGATAGGGCTGATTGGACCCAGTGAGTGATGAGAAGCTGAGTGTTTGGGGTGTACAAAGTGGAACGTCAGAACAAGGGGAGTCAGAAGCAGAAGGCAGAGGACCTCCTTTGTTAAGGCATGTTATTTCCATTTTAGCCTGAAGGCAGCTGCGACGCCATCCTAGGTTTTGAAGCAGGCGAGTGAAGGGAGTTTTCTTTGGGAGAACCGGTGTATCCGTGTGAGGGTGGGCCACCGCAGGAAGAAGCAGACTCCCTGGAGGTCAGCCAGGACGTTCTGTAGTTCCACCTGGAAGAGGCAGTGTGGAGAGATTAGACCCGAGTGACACTTCTGAAGCAGAACTGACAGTAATTCCAACCAAATGGCATGAGAATTTCAGGAGGGAGAGGAGTCAAAAATGACTTCAAAGTTTCTAATTTGGGAAGCCGGATGAATAAGACATTATTCACTGAGAGGAGGAGCACAGAATGTGACTCAGTTGCAGATACAAAGTTCAGTAAGAAATCATTGTGACCTGGAGTAATCAGGGAAACCCTCATAAATGAGCTAGCATGTTGGTAAAAATATCAAAGTCTGCGAAAAACCCAGTGTTCGCCCTCACGGGGGAAGGCAGCACTAAAGGCACATTTAATGGGAATGTGCATCGGTACAGCCTGAGCTCTTTGTAGAGCAGCATTCAACTGGGAAGGAAAAGGGGTGGAGCAAACTAAAATGTATCAAGTACAGGTAAAGAGCCAGGCTTGGGCCCTCCCTCTGTGTTGTCTCGTCTCCTAGGAAGAAAGAGAAACCGCTGCTCGTTTTTGAGCCAGGCAGTGAGTGAGATGGCTAACATTGTGCTTTAGAGAGATTAGCCCAGTTTGGTTGGTGGTGGTTCACAGACTGATTGCAGCATGCATTCTTAGTGGGGGTGATAATGCCCCCAGCAGGGTGAACCCGGGCTCTTGTGGGAGATGGGTCTCAGATATTACGATGGCCACCGTACAGAAAGGGATGTACGGTATATCAGGTGGTATTCACGTTTGGGGGGAGGGGCAAACCTAGAAAGCTCCTGTTGATGAAAAAATAAAAATGACGATAATGGGAAAAGGAAAAAAAAAGTTGAGAAACATTGGGTTGGGGGAAGAAGCTAGAAGCAAGGCGATCAGGTGGTAGTAAATAGGGTATAGACAAAGATAGTGGCGGCAGCTGTCAGAGAGGTAGATTTGAAACCTATTTTGAATATACAATGAACAGGATTTGGCTTACTGCAGGATATGAGAGAAAAGATGAGGATAGAATCAAAGTTATTTGTAGGGCTCAAGACTTGGTTACATGTAAATTTGCACAGAAACAGAGAGACTTAGAAGTGTCTTAGAAGAAATTGATTAATTCCGTATTAGACGTGTTGCTGTCTAATATGTGTCTTTTTTTGTTCGAAGGCAAAAAAAAGTCCAAATGAAAAAGTCCAGTAGCCATTTGGAAATAAGATATTTGGGATTCTTCTTCTCTCACAATTATTTTTATTCTGATAACACATTTGGAAGATGTGTAAAGCCAAGGGAACAATTAGTGCCAATAAAAGCTGTAGAAGACAATTATTCCTCAAAAGTTTTAGAAACTGTCGTGATCCCATTAGTATCAGGTTCTAATCAACTGGGTGAAGAATAACTCTTACAAGGATATTTTTTAAGAGTAGGTTTTTATTTACAAAAGTAATAAAGAACATGAAAAAAAAGACAAACAGAAAAACACATAGCTGAGTAGGGAGAGTTCTTGATAATCCCATGCCACCCAGCCTCTGCCCTGCTACCATTAATTTGGCATCTATGTTTCCAGATATCTTTTTCCTTGCATATATGTACTCATATGTCCAGCTTCTATAAAACTTTAACTTTACAAAAAATAAGATGGTATTGGTATCAGTGGGTTTGATTTGCAAGCCATAGGAACAAACTGGTTGCACGATCATGGAAAGGAATTTACTTGAAGGATATGGGGTAGATAACAGAGCTGAAGAACCAAGCTGGAAAAGATGAAGAATCAAGCTGGAAAAGTAAATTCTGTGACCTAGAAAGCAAGAGCTTAATTGATATTTCCCAGGGCACTGCCATTTGGTTGTATTTCCTCCCACCATATTTAATCTTTGTATCATTTCTGCTTCAGATTCACATTCCCAGGAGAGCTAGACCTTGATTGGGCAATGCGCTCTTTGCTCAATACTCTCTGATTACAGATAGGGTGGAGGCGTTTCTCAACCAAAAAGAGGAGCCTGTTAACAAGAGAAGGGAAAATGGATACTGAACCTATGAAAATGTCCCCTGTTTTCTAACTCTTCTCTCTCTTTCTCATTTACTCTCTAGGACATACAGCCCTATCTGGTTCTTTTTAACCATTAGTAGTAAATTTGGGGGTGGGGGGTATGGCTATAAAATTATTTAGTGAAGTACTTCTCAGTGGATATTTTGTTGACGTTTCGGATTACTAACAACAGTGCCACAGAGAGCATCTTTGTACACAGATCTTTGTACACGTATGCAAATATTTTGTAGGCTATATTCCCAGAAGTGGAGCCTCTGGGTCACACTGTATATATGTAACTTTTAATAGATATTGCCGAATTGCCCCTCCAAGAGTTTATACTCCCACCAAAAAGAGCACCTGTTTTTCTGTTTCTTTGCCAAAACTGAGTATGAGCAATCCTTTTAATTAATGGAAACATTGAAAAGGATCACCACAGACTGAGTTGAGCCTCTTCCTCTATCATCTCAGATGCTCGCTATTTTCTAACCAGTTATGAAACCAAGAACTGAAACTAAGAAAGCGTTAAATGTCATAGGCTGACAACATCTCCATTAGAAGTCTGAACTCTGGTTCTTACTCAGCCTCATTGGGCATGAGGACAATGAGCGAGATCAACTGCTTTTAAAGAAGTCAGTAGTACTTGGGTACTTGGGTCGTGGGTGGGAAGGGTTTATCATGGGACACAGCCCAGATTCACATCTTACACGGGACACAGAGTCTTATAAAGTATGGTAATGTGTTCAAGAGCCGCAGTCTGTGAAAAGTACATGTGTTTTGACACTAAGCTCCTTCTCAGCTTGGGGAGATGCACATAGCGTGTGATGTGAGCTGAGGGAAAGGAGGCCCCGTGTGGCTCCCAGCTTAAACTGCCTCCAAGGCATATAGGCGTGGCGTGCATTGGTGGACAAAATCACTGGTACCATTAAATCTGCTTTTGATTTTGCTCAACTCATTTTACTTAATTGGTACGAGCTGAAGGTGTGCACACAGGTGCACTGGTACACCTGTGTCATTTGTACAGATGAAGCAACCACAGAATCGCGTCTAGCCAGAACTGAGGGATTCTTCAGAATATTGTGTCTTGGGCTGAAAAAGAGCATAACACAGGAAGATGTAAACCGTTCGCTGGGACGTCTTTTAACGGGAACTGTTGAAAATCCCCAAACCTGAGTTTTAGCCTTAGTTCTCCTTTATGGAAGATGAATGATCTTATGTTAGTCTCTCCATTCCCAAAGGTCTTACTAGCGTATGTAAAAGGGGTAAGTGCTTGCGATCTTAACACCTCAGAGGGTTGCAGCTGGGATTGAATGAGATATAAGAAGTCACTTTTAAAAACTGAAAGCACAAGGGGCGCCTGGGTGGCTTAGTCGGTTAAGCGTCCGACTTCCGCTTAGGTCATTATCTCGGGTTTGTGGGTTCGAGCCCCACATTGGGCTCTCTGCTGACTGCCAGCTCAGAGCCTGGAGCCTGTTTCAGAGTCTGTGACTCCCTCTCTCTCTGACCCTCCCCTGCTCACGCTGTCTCTCTCTCTCTCCTAGAAATAAATAAAACATTAAAAAATTTTTTAAAACAAACTGAAAGCACATTACACGTTTTTATGCAAGCACAGCAATAGGCTCATAAGAAGTCAAATAATAATAATAATAATGGCAGCTTATCAACTTACATCTCAGCCACTCAGATGTATGAATTAAGGTAAAGGGAGCAACTTACAATTGTAACGGGAAAACCATTTCATTACCGTGTTTCGCTCACTTTTTTAATCATTTATAAAAAACTAGATTTGAGATGTGATAGGCCAGATCTTCACTTCTGAATACAGAAAAATAACGATATGTTAATATGTTCCAAACCATTTTCTTGTGATCTTTCATTTCTTCACAAAGCATCGTAGTTCGTGGTGTAGACACTGCTTTCCTCCCTTTATACCTGAGGAAACTAAAACAACTATTAAAAGACTCGTCCAACATCATGTATAATGACTGACTCACACCTGAATATTTTTCTGTAGGTTCTCAAACTTGAGAATATATCAGAATTAGCTGGGTGGCGTGTTACTAAACCCAACCATTTGTAGCCCTGGCATTTCTGATGCAGGTACTCTGGGCAGCGTTCTGAAGCATCCCATTAAACCTAAAGGAAAGCATTTGATTTCTTCTGAAAGTGTCGTTTGCTTTTGTGTCTTTATTTTTTCCCCCTTATGTTTCAGGGCTCTGGGCAGCCCAGACTCAGTTTGGACTTCTTAGTTTAGGAAAACATGGAATGAATAAATATCCCATTACTGGGAGACCCGGTACTCAAAAGTTAAAAAGTAAATAGTAATCTAGGAACAGGACCTTTACCAACTTAAAGGGCTTTCCTTGGTTTTTCTCTTGGTCATTGGCCTAGAATAGCTTTAGTCTCTGAGGCCTCACCATCCTTTGGTGCCACCTAGGGGCCAGTTAATTGATTTTTAAAAGAAGACCTTTGATGGTCCAAGGAGAGGAAAAACAAAATGAGGGAAAGCAAAATGCAGGAGATTAAAAAATAGGAGATTAAAAGAGATTTTTTTCTTAAAAAAATATAAATTGCATTTATACTTTGGATATTTCCCCACTAGCAAATACGCTTCATGAGGGGACGTACTTGTTCATGGCTCTATCCCTAGGGCCTACGACAGTGCCTGACACATAGGAAGTACGCAACATATATTTGTCAAATAAACAAATGAATGATGGGTGACTTTGCTCCAGTAATAGATGTTGTGCTGTTTAAAGGACTTCTCTTCAAATGCTTACAAGGCCCAAGTATGCGAGATATTCTCAACAACACCAATATACAAATGTTACTGATAATTGCTGTGAAAATAAACAACTTGCATTTTCTCCCATAGTGGATGCCATCAGAGAAGACAGGCACTGTTGTTCTAACTGAAAGTCCAGCTCACATATTGTCTTCTTTCCTCGACCTTCTTAACTAGCAACAATACCAACCTTTGCAAGAAATCTTGTAGCATAAAGTTTTGCCTCCTTTATAGCACTTCCACTTTCAACCTTGTTCTTTCTCTTTTTTAAAATGTATACACAAAACTTCTTTCCTTATACTAATTAAGGTTCTTTTGTCTGCATGTTAATAACATTTATTTGGGCTGGTTTAAGCCAAAACCAGGAAATTTATTACAGAAATATAGGAATATTTCATAAAACCCAGTAGCAATAATACAGCTGGACCTACAGACAGCTTACCAGTTAGGAAACATGGGCATCAGCATATTCCCTGCATGTCTGTCTTCTCTCTTTCTCATTCCTTACGTTCTGAAGCCCAGATTTCTCTAATCCTCAGCCTATGTAGCAGTGGATGGCTACCACATATGTAGTTTTTATATGCCCCTCAATTCCAGCCACACATAGAGATTATCTCTGTATCCCAATTCCAGATTCCTGAGAGAGAAAACAGATTGAGTCAGTCAGCTGTGAGTTGAGCATATAGCATTTCAACAAATGTGTAGCACAGTTCCCTTTTAGAGTGTTAGCAAGTTGAGAACAGGATCATGACTTAGCAAACATGTTTATGTAGCCAGAGCACAGGGTTCAGATCTTGGATATGATGCCATTTAGGAAATATACCTGAACTGGTGAGTGAAAAAATTTCACCTTTTTTCTCTAGTTTTCTTGCTTTTTCCGCTTAAAGACAGAAAGACAGACAAACACACAAGGCAAGACAGGAAGTAAAAGAAAAGAAAGACAGACATGAGTAGAACTGGAAAGAACAGAATGATTTGATCTAGAAATGATTAAACAAACTAATGGAAAAAATGGAAGGGGAGAGATCTCATCTGCTTTTTCCCAGCATGCCCTTACTCTGAGATCTTAATTATTTTTAATTTTTTTAATGTTTTTTTAGAGACATTTTTGAGAGAAACAGAGCCTGAGCAGGGGAGAGGCAAAGAGAGAGGGAGACACAGAATCCAAAGCAGGCTCCACACTCAGCACAGAGCTCAATGCGGGGCTCAGACTCATCAGCTGTGGGATCATGACCTGAGCCGAAGTTGGATGGTTAACCCACTGTGTCACCCAGGTGCCCCTACTCTGAGATTTTAAAAAGATCATTGGCCTGCTTCTAATATGTGCAAAAACAGGGTTTTTCCAAGAAAACTAAGAACATTGCAGACATTGCCAATTTAAGTCTGTGATATTCAACTCTGACTACACATTAGATTCACCTAGAGAATTCTTTTTTTTTCTTTTTTTTACATTTATTTATTTCTTTGAGAGACAGGGTAAGACAGAACATGAGCAGGGGAGGGGCAGAGAGAGATGGAGACACAGAATCCGAAACAGTCTCCAGGCTCTGAGCAAGCATTCAGCACAGAGCCTGATACAGGGCTCGAACCCACAAACCATGAGATCATGACCTGAGCCAAAGTCAGACGCTCAACCGACTGAGCCACTCAGGTACCCCAACCTAGAGAACTCTTAAAATAATGATGTCAGGGTCCCACCCCAGACAGTTATCAGAACTTCAGGTTGTAGGATTGAAAACGTTCCTCACATGATTTTAATGGGCAGCTCGTACTGAGGACCACTGGCGTAACTGGAGAAAAATTTACTTAGACCTATGCAGGAGACATCACCTAAGGAGGGTTCACAGCAGCTCTACGAGATAAGAAGGGGTCAGGTGGAATTAATCCCATTTTACAGCTAGCGTAATTGTGATGGCTGTGAAGTTGCCCCTCTTGTAAAGTGATGGGCCCACAAACAGAACCTAAACCTCCAGGGATTGTCGATCTAATCTCATTGAGTCAAGCTGCCGAGCCCTCAGGGGCTTAATTAAGAGACAGCTAGTGGTGCCATTCCTTGCCATCTCTCACTTAGCGGTGCATTCCTTCTGATTCACCTGCAGTCACCTGTCGCCATGTCTCTTTTGCTCCCGAATGCAGGAACTAAATAAAAAGCGGACCCAGAAGGAGATGGAGCATGCCATGCTAATCCGACACGACGAGTCCACTCGAGAGCTGGAGTACAGGCAGCTGCACACGTTACAGAAGCTACGCATGGATCTGATCCGTCTACAGCACCAGACTGAACTGGAAAACCAGCTGGAGTACAATAAGAGGCGAGAAAGGGAACTGCACAGAAAGCATGTCATGGAACTTCGGCAACAGCCAAAAAACTTAAAGGTAAGAGGAAACTGAAGTGTTTCCCCGTTTGTGCTCCAGGATGCCGTTACCCTGGATTATGTGGTCCTTGCACCTAGAACTGTCAGCTGTGCCTGGGCAACTCTTCAAAAGTACGGATTTCTGGGCCCCACACCTCCTGGATCAGAGTCTCCAGAAAGGAAGCACAGAGTCTGTATAACAAACTCCTGATGAGGTGCTGCTTCGGAAACCACTGCATTGGATGATCTCTCCATTTTCCTTTGTATGATGGTGTGCAGTTTCTCTGACCCCTTCATGACCCTGCTCTCTTGAAAACTGTAATTTATGGACAAGCAGCAGCCCATGGTTCTAATCCCAGGAGATGGGAAAAGTTATCTAGCAGGTGTATGGCAAAGGGATTTCATCTGTCCTGCCAGATTATCAGTAGGAACTACGCTGAGTGCTTCTATATTGAAAAAGACTAAAGCCTCGTCCAAGCCTAGTAGGAGAAAGTATGATCGAGTAGTGACATCTGCATGGGAATGAGGAGTGAATCTACATGTGCCAGACCCTGCGCTGGAGATCTGGAATTCCTTTGGCCCTCACTGCCTCTGGATAATTGTAGCTGACAGCTGATTCACAAGCTCTGTGGACTAAGCCATTGCCATATGTTAAGGGGGTTGCTGTCAGTGTCGACACAATACAAGGCCAACCTCCAACACACTGGCCATGCTCCTGCCTAGCCTGTCTAATCCTAACCTGTCTAATGAGTGATCTCTGTCTTCACAACTCCAAGCATTCGCGAAATGCACATGTGACCATGAAGCCACCTGAGGAACGCCTTCGGGACTTAAGTAACACGGCCCACCTCCTCCTTGCCATAGTGCATTCTTGATATTGCTACATGGAAGTGTAACTTCTTCATGGGGGAAGAAATCTAAAATCACTTTTTTCCTTTATACTTAGACTGAAATCCAGTGGAAATGGTTTATGATGTTAGGTATTATCCAGATGTTCTCCTCTGTTGACTTGTCAAGGAAACACAGAGCAGTGACAGCCAGCTTGTACATGGCCATCCCCTTTCTCACCTGGAAACGAGTTGGGTTGGGTTGGGTTGGGTTGGGTTGGGGGAGGTGGGGAGATGACCAAAAATAATGGGGGGGGGGGAACAGCCAACAATAGAAGACACTGAAGATTTTGGCTAGGAAGCCATTAAAATAATGAGCAGACTTTTTTTAACAGACTAAGCTTCATCATTAGTTCAGCAATTGTACAATCTGCTTAGAGTTGTTATCTCCTTGGAGTAATTCATTTTTGTAAATCCATTCGTAAATTCAAAATTACTTCTATGTATTTAATATAAGGCTAAAGGTACTGGTAGTTAACTCTTGTCTGTGTCCTAGCTATTATTTTCATCATTGCTGACTAGCAGAATGAGTCCCTGCACCAAAAGACAATGGGTCCCAGCACCTGTATTGTACTGTTAAAATGGAAAGTTTTCTATATTTACTAATGTGTCTTTATTTTCCTTTTGTTGTTTTCCTTCTGTACAGGCCATGGAAATGCAAATTAAAAAACAGTTTCAGGACACTTGCAAAGTACAGACCAAACAGTATAAAGCACTCAAGAATCACCAGTTGGAAGTTACTCCAAAGAATGAGCACAAAACAATCTTAAAGACACTGAAAGATGAGCAGACAAGAAAACTTGCCATTTTGGCAGAGCAGTATGAACAGAGTATAAATGAAATGATGGCCTCTCAAGCGGTAAGTGGTTAGGTTCCGTGCCACCCCTTCAAGAGCTTTGGGAATCAAGAAAATGCAAGATCCAGCCTTTTGTTCCCAAGACGATTCTTGCACAGATTTAGGATGTTGGTGTTTTCTCTGCCCAAAGAACTGAGGAAGTGACGACGCTGAATAAAGCCAAGCCAATGTGGATTCTTGCTGGAGTGTGTCTTATGAGATGGAACTCAAGGAATAACGTGCTAAATCAGACGCGTGGCACATAGGGACTCTGAGGGCAAGATGTGCTAGATACCGCATAGAGTATCATTTTTTCGTTCATCAAGGATTGCGCAACTAATGTCAGACACAAATGGATAAGACACACACACACAGACACTTTCATTCAACACTCTTTTACTGAGCGTCTTGTGTTCAGCGGCTCAGAGATAGAGTCAAAAGCTAGAGAAACAATTGGTTCTTGTCTTCACACTTTTTGTTAGTCAAGGAGGTCAGATAATTAAGCGATAATAAAAAAGCATAACAAGTGAGAGGATAAGTAAGAACAACCAACCTGGTCTAGGGAAACCTTCCCAGCAAGAGCCAAGAAGCTTGAAGGAATGTACTGAAGTAAACAGGCGCCACAGAGAGGGATCTTCATGGGCAAAGGCCCAAAAGATGGAAAGTGTGCATTTAGGGACTGAAAGAACTTTGGTTTGAGTCCAAGGTTCAAGGAGAATGGTGGGAGCCCAAAATGGAGAGATCGTAAAGGTCTTGGTAACCCAAGAATGGGAGCTTGTCTGTGATGCATTGAAGTTTTCCCAAGGAGAGGAGTCTTAAAGAGTAATAGTTTGTCAAACAGGCAGAAGAGGAAAAAGTTATTCCCAGCAGAGGAAACTAAATGCAAAGTTGCAAGGCCTGAAAAAGGACAGCACATTTGAGGAACAGGGAGTGGTTGGTATGGCAGGAGTATAAAGGCAAGCAGGTGGATAGTTGGGGATCAGACCCTCAAAAGTAAGGAGCTGGGACATCATTCTGTAAACAGTGGGAGCTGCTGAAGCCTGTTTTAAGAGGGGAAGTGACAGAATCAGATTTGTGGTCTAGAAACATACTGACAGTAAAGGTGGCAACTGTGGGTCTAAAGAGACTTATTAGGAAACTATTATAACCCAGGGAAAAAAATGTAATGAAAGCTCAGACCAAGAACATGCTCTTGGAGATGGTGAGGAGGCAGAAGGATTTGAGAAATATTTAGGAGTTAGAATAGATGAAGCTCGGTGACTAATTTGGGAAGTAGGTTTAATAATAGTGGAATAGGTCATCATTTTACCAAGATAGAAAAATAGAAGGAAGTGTGAGCTTGGATTATCGGGCAGATAATTGACCAAGTTGTGGACGTGTTACCTGAGCTAGATGGGTATCCAGGTAGAGAGATACAGAGATAGAAGTCTGTAGTTCAAGAGAGTGTTAGTACGTAAGACAAATAACTAGGCGTCCACATTCTGTTAGATGGGGAAGTTGTAGCTGTTGGGAATATCCTGTCCTTCTAGGGACAGGAGGTTTTTTTGGGGGGAGGAAGGGGACTAGGGACAGAGTTGTGGACACCACCATTTGAAAGCAGAACAGAAGCAGACCAAAGAAAGTGAACAATCATTGTGGGAGGGGAACTGGAGAGAGCATGTCATAGACCCCAGCACAGAAGCTTCTAGCTGATCATTTCACATGTGGCAGAGAGACCAGCCGGACCTAGTTAGTAGTGGATTTGCCCAGTGACTGCAACAGACAATCAGTGGAGGGGTGAGAGTGAAAGACATTATAGTGCGTGGAAGAAGTGATTATAAAGTGAGATAGAGACTTTATAATGAATGAGATTACTTTTCCCGGTTGCTCATCAGTGAAGGACAGGAGAAAGAACTCTAGCTAGAGGAAGAGACAGTTGAAAGAGGACTTCTGTTATTTGGGAAAGGCTTAAACGTGAGGTTAAAGGTAGGAGTCAGTGTATTCATTCATTCATTCATTCGTTCATCCATCCATCCAGTAAGTATCTACTGAGTGCCTTACCATGCCCCAGGCATCCTGGGGTGCTGCAGTAAATTAGATAATCATCAATCATGTCTTCTTGGAATTTATGGAGGAGTGAGGAAACAGGTTGAAAGAGTCCTCTCCGTGTAACGGCAGAGCAAGTGCCAACAATGTAACCAAGAGCATAGGCTGGTCTGGAGAGTCAGGAAAGGCCTCAGATCCACAATGAGTATTTAAGCTGAGATGTAGGGAGCACATTCTAGGCAAAAGGAACTGTATTTATAAAGATCGGGGAAATAGTGGCACTTCTGAAGAGCTTGGAGTCCATTGTGTTTGGAATATAGAGAAAGAGACAGAGACCAAATGAAAATAAGACTGGAGGGCTAAATGGGCCAGATCACATAGGTGCCTGTAAGGTTTCTTTCTTAAGGATTTTGCTCTGTATCCGAAAAGCAACGGGAGGCCATAGAAGAGCTTTACGGGGAAGTGGGAGGGACTGACATCAGATATGCATTTTTAAACAGTCACTCCAGTGACAGAGAATGGCCTGGGAGATGGTCAGATGGATCTCAGGAGATGGTGTATATATAGTTGCTGCTCTTACCTGGGCAGGAGCAAGTGGTGGCTAGACCAGAAGGGGGGCAGATGGGATGGAGAAAGTGATGAAATTTGAGAGGCAGCAAGCGGAAGTGAAAGCATTTAGTAACAGAGTGAACATGGAGCATGAAGGATTAAGGATGACTCCCAGTCTCCAGTTTGAACAAAACAATAGAAGGTGGTGCCACTTATCTATATGGTAAAAAAAAGGATGTAGAGCAGCTTGGGGAAGGGGGAAGGGAATGATGATTAGCTAATATTAGTCATGCTGAGCTTGAGGGCCTGGGCACCATCCAGGTGAAGATGTCCCTCGCAGACTGGATAAGCTATTCTGGGCCTCAGGAAAGAAGTCTGAAATAGAGGTGTAGAGGTGGGAGTCCTCCACATATAGATGGTAATGGCAGCCTTGGGAATAGACGGGATTCCTTAGGAAGAGAGGTTAGAGGAAGAAGCATGCCCATATTTAATGGCTGGAAAGGAGGAAGTAGCTGGAAAGGAGAATGAGGGAGGGAAGAATCAAGAGGCTGTGGTATCTCAGAAGACAAGAGAAAGATTTCCAGAGGGAAAAGGCAACTAATGGTATTAGATGCTGCTGGGAGTCAGATAAGATAAAGACCCGTTGCCTTATAAGTAAGAAGTAGGATGAAAATGAGGAGCACAGGGAGCAGTTCAGGGTTAGGAGAGGGGAGAGAGCATTGCTAGGGACGTAGGATTTTTGTCTTGTTCATCTTTCCGTCATCAGCCTCTGCAACAATTCCTGGTACACAACATGTGTTTAATGAATGCTTGTTATATAAGATGAATGGAATGGGATCAAGACTATAGGTTCATGGTTGCCCTTAAATAAAAGGAAGGAAATACCCTTCCTTCTGAGGCAGGGAGGAGATACAAGTAGGTATGATAAATGCCGCTGTCCTTTACTGACTCCTTACCTCGTGCCAGCCACTGTTTGGGGTATTTTTAAGTGTTACTTCATTCTTGTGAAACCTCTTTGACTTTTGAAGTAGTTACTGTTTTAACCCCAATTTACCTGCAAGGAAACAGAGGTTTATTGAAGTAAAGCCACTTGCTTAGGGCAAGAGTTGGCAAACTGTTTCTGTAGAGGAGCAGGCAGTAAATATTTTAAGCTTTGTGGACCACAGGGTCGCTGTCACAACTACTCAACTCTGCTGTTGTAGTGCAGAAGCAGCCGTGGTTGGTCCATAAATGAATGAGCACGTCTGTGTTCCAATAAACCTTATTGACAAATATAGGCAGCAAGTCAGATTTGGCCCCTGGGTTATGATGTGCCAACTCCTGGCTTCGGGGCTCACACAGTGGTAGTTAGCTGAGTGGTGATGAAGCTGGGATTTGACCCCATTTCAGGAGGAGTCCGTAAGCCTGGCCATACTGACATTATGAAGCTGCCATCACATCCTTTCATTCACATTAATCCACTTCAGGAAACAGACATGATATTTACCTACCATTCATTAAATGATTTTAATGGGTTTGATATGTGCAACTTTGGGGTGATGAATACCAGATACTGGAATATCCTCCCTGATTTCTCGACTGGCACTTTTACAGAGCAGAGCTGGTACAGAATAACATAGTTACGGGCATTAATAATAGAACGCCAGAAATAAGAGAAGATGGAAATGTTTCAGTGGTCTAAACTGCCCACAGGACGAGCCTCTCACCCACTGGGCCAGGGCTCTTAACAAAAATAAGTAAAAAAGAACAGACTTGCATTCCCTTTATTGGAGTGGAAACTCCCATATCAAGAGGGACTTGATCAATTTTATTGGGGGCCAGTAAACCCTTTGGCGTTTATCTGTAAGGCTGTTCCTGCTGCAGACTGTTGTATCTTGTGTCTCTTCTCCCTTCAATTGTCATTGGGAAAATAAGAGGTTTCCTTCTCAGTGGATTTTAGTGAACTCTGGGTAGGATTAATTACTAGAAAATACCTTGGAAATATGGTTATGTTACTTATTTTATGTTCATATGATATACTTCTCCACAGTACTAAAGAAGACACTGTGCAGATAACTTCCTAAAACTGTACTAATAACATACCAAAAGTTTCTTAATCAAGATATTGAAATACATTGTTAATTGTCAAAAATTGTACAGATTAGGGAAGGAAGCATGAAATGGAGACCAAGTGTCTTGGCAAAGTGGTACATGTGGATAAATTCAGGGTTGACAGAACTATGTAATTCAAGGATTCTAATGTCTTACTTCCCAGCTAAACTGAGGGCCTGATAAATTGAGACGAAACCAAGCCTGGGATAGGAGGATCATCAGCCTCGAAACGTAGTCCCACTAATGGCCCCAAACCTTCAGTTATGCTTATTGGAAGGTTGGCATTTGTGCTGGCCGACTTGGCCCATTCCCCCTACAGGCTCTAATACAAAGTTCAGGAATGAGAGGGAGCAAGGGGCCCTCTATCAGCCTGTTTTACAATCTGGACTTTGCTGCTTCAAACCCTAATGTGCTCCTTAAGATCATCAAGGCTATCTTCTGTGGGGAAGAGATTTTGTACCACTAGAGTTTTCCATTGGCTGGCCAGCAAGACTACTTGTATCACCAGCAATAAAGACCAACATCACTTTCTAGGATCATTACTGTGGGAAAGACCCCAAGCATAATGGAGATTCGACTCCTTTTTTTAGAGCTAAGGATATCTAAATGTATGGTGGTTTGAGATTTAAAGATACATAAATATGGAAATGGTCAAAACCAAAATAATGATAACAGCTACTATTTACTAAATACTTGGTGTGCATCTAGAACCATGCCTAGGATGTCATATGAATTCTTTCATTTAATGTTCATGTCAATCTTAGACAGTGGGAACCATTACTGATATTTTCTTGAAAAGAACAAAATGGGACTCGGAGAGATAGCTTCTCACGGTGACACACCCAAGTGAATCATGGAGCTAAATTTCAAGTTCAGGAGTCTGCATCCAAAACTCACTGGCTTCATCACTGGGGGCACATTGCCCTCCTGACTTCTGCTAGTGTGGTTTTAAGGAAACCAGTTTTTCTTAAGAAAAGAATGTTTTTGTTTTCTTAAGAAAGAATGTTTTAGGAATGTGTTTGTAGAACCTTTTGTAGCCCATGGGGCAGAACGCACTATTTCTGATTGCTAACTCTGAAGGTCCCCGGGACCGCTGGTGTTCCGAGGGGGTCTGTTCCACTCTGCACACAGAAGCATCTTCCAGCAAGCAGCAGGCCCTGTAAGGCAGGAATAAGTTACAGTTTGTGTCTTTTGTGCCCTGCAGTTGCGGCTCGATGAGGCGCAAGAAGCAGAGTGCCAGGCCTTGAGGCTACAGCTGCAGCAGGAGATGGAGCTGCTCAATGCCTACCAGAGCAAGATCAAGATGCAGACAGAGGCGCAGCACGAGCGCGAGCTCCAGAAGCTGGAGCAGAGGGTGTCTCTGCGCAGGGCACATCTTGAGCAGAAGGTACGAAAGCACTATTCTGGGGCCTGCACAGCTGGGTGGAGGACAGGCCATTGCCCAGGGAGCCGCCCTTCACGGAGCCCTGCCCGTGCACCTAAACTGGGCACTGTTCACTTATTATCTGCTGTTACATTCCTAGTACTCCTGAGAGGTAGGCCAAATCCCCATCCCACAGGCAGGATCCTAAGGCTCCAAACGCTTACGTTACTCGCAAAAATCTGACCCCACAGCCCAAGTAAGCTCCTTCTATTACCCTGCTAGGAAACGCTATACCTTTACAGCCAGAACAACATGGATTCCCAGGTCGTTGATATGACACATGTGAAAGGTGCACTGAGCTGATAGCATGGCCGCTAAATGGTATGAGGAAGCCAGAGGCGGATTTGGTTTTTTATTTTCAGCTGTTTCTAAACCAAAAGAAATCGCCGGCAGGGCTCTTTAAAAAAAAAAATTAAAATGAGAGGCTGATACTGCCACACATAATAAATGTTATCAGAAGTGAAATATTCACTGCTTTAAATATTGCTGAGGAACATGAAGCAGAAAAGATTTCATAAAGCATCTAAAAGCTGTTAAGCATTTATTTGCTTAACCAGTTATCTGTACCTTCTTCTGATACTTCCCGGAGACCAACGTAAGAGACTATTTTCACAGCTCCTGTTCTAGAACTAAATTGCTAATGACCCTGGGGGCATTTGGCTCTCTCTGGGAAAGCAGCACAATCTAATTGTGCCTGAGTGTCTTTTCGCTTCTCCTGAGCCGCCTCCTGCTGAGACAGGACACTGACCCAGATCAGCTAAGCTGCTTGGTTTGCTAGAATGGGAGTGCTAGCTAGCCCCAGGTGGGCCCCAAACATTGCTCTTCTTGTGAGCAAATTTTAAATATCACGGATTAGCTGCAAGACGTTTACCCCAGCTTCTTCCCTGCCTTCCCCAGTCTGGTTTGCGCCCTGTTCCTGTGTGTGTGCCTGTCACACGTGTGCACCTGTGTGGACGTGTGTGTTTGTGAGCACCCGCAGGGAGGTCCTTGCCACTCAGAACGGCTCCTTCTGCTTCTTTCAGATTGAAGAAGAGCTGGCTGCCCTTCAGAAGGAACGCAGTGAGAGAATAAAGTACCTATTGGAAAGGCAAGAGCGAGAGATTGAAACTTTTGACATGGAGAGCCTCAGAATGGGATTTGGGAATTTGGTTACATTAGATTTTCCTAAGGAGGACTATAGATGAGATTAAATTTTTTTGCCATTTACAAAAAAAAAAAGTAAAAAAAGAAAAAAAAAGAAAACAGAAAAAAATTCAGACCCTGCAAAACCACATTCCCCATTTTAACGGGCGTTACGCCCACTCTCTCTCTCTCTTACTCTTACTGACATCGTGTCGGACTAGTGCCTGTTTATTCTTACTCCATCAGGGGCCCCTTCCTCCCCCCGTGTCAACTTTCAGTGCTGGCCACAACCTGGCCATCTCTTCTTCTATTCATAGTACACGTCACAGTATTGATGTGATTCAAAATGTTGCAGTGAAAACTTTGGAGACAGTTTTAACAAAACAATAAACCACCACCAACAACGACAACAAAAAATAAAAAGTGGATGTATATTGCTTTAAGCAATCACTCGTTACCACCAATCTGTGAAAGTAAAGCAAAAAAAAAAAAAATAATAATAATAATAATAATAAATGCCAAGGGGGAGAGAGACACAATATCCGCAGCCTTACACCTTAACTAGCTGCTGCATTATTTTATTTTATTTTATTTTTTTGGTATTTATTCATCAGGAATAAAAAAAAAACAAAGTTTTATTAAAGATTGAAAATTTGATACATTTTACAGAAACTAATTGTGATGTACATATCAGTGGTGACATATTATTACTTTTTTGGGGACGGGGGGGGTGGGCGGGGTGAAGAGATCTTGTGATTTTTAAGAACCTGCTGGCAAGAGTTTAACTTGTCTTCAGCATATTCTGATTGTATCATAATCATTTTCTGCTGTTGCAGAGGATGTGAATACACTTAAGGAGCTCACAGAATCCCAGTAGCACAAATTGGGCTTTGGCAAATCGTGTATTTTGTGTATAGAAGGAATTTAAGGAGAGGTATTACTTATTTTCATATTGTATTTTAACTGTTTCTCTGATCAAATTTTTTTACTTCCTCCTCCGATTCCTCCCCACCTCCCTCCTTTTCCAATTCAGTATTTGGAGTTCAACACTGTCTCTCAATCAGATCATCTTGATCTTTTTCTTTATTTCCCTTCCCCTCCCCGAGTCCCATATCTTGGTCATAAATACTGCATTATTCACACTTTCAAACTGTGTATTTTCTTACAATAAAAAATGATGAAAAAAAAAAGGCTTTACTTCTTTTGCATGCACTTTAAAAAAAACAAAACGAAACGAAACATTTTTCAGGTTCCAAGGAAGAGCATGAATACTGTCAGAGCTTTTAATTATATTTGTAAATAAAAGTGTTCATCACATCGCCTTGCTGTGTTATTGTAGCAGGAAGTTTCCCTTCTAGGTTCACCGGTTCGTAATTCAGAGGGAGACCTGCCCTCCAGAAATCCTTCTCCGTAGCCCTGGTTGCTTCAAGAAGAGCCATCCAAGATTTTCAGGTAAAGCCGTGTCTTCCAAGTTCTTCTACAGGGATGAAGATAATGTTGCACTGCTTGCAGTGGTCAATAGCACCTTTTTGCCCTTTAGAAAAAGGCACATATGCAAGTGCATGCACACACACATACACACCAATGTGCCAGTCATACCTAGGTGCACACACTGCAAAGAAGTTGCACAGCCTTACAGAAAAGCTCTGTAAGAGATTATGACCAAATATGTGAAATGATCCCACTGTGATAGTGGGATTCTGCTTTCATTAGAATAATTTTATGTACATAACAGTGAGGTAGCAAAATATATAATCTTTAAAAAAAATTTTGTTATGTTTATTTTTGAGAGAGACAGAGACAGAGGCAGGGGAGAGGCAGAGAGAAAGAGACAGAATCTGAATCAGGCTTGAACCTACGGACCGTGAGATCATGACCTGAGCCAAAGTCAGACACTTAACCAACCAAGCCACTTAGGCACCCCTAAAGTATATAACTTCTAATATACAGTTTTGGGGTCCAGACATTTTCAGGAAGATCTCTTATTTTTATGGTTCTAAGTACTGGACATTGAAAATTTATCTTTAGCATGATGGACCTGAAGATCATTCTTGTTTCCTACAGAATGTTCAGTCATCATAGACAAATGTGACCAGTGATGTTCACTCTGATAGGCTAAAGCAGAGAGATAAACTCAAAAAATTATAAAATAATTATCAACAAAATAATTATCAACCATAAAACCTTTGGTATTTATCACCCAGCTAAGCAACTTAGTTCATTGAAGTTTCTATATTAGGTACCCCAGGAAATAACACTGGAAAGGGCTGGAAAGAATACTCATAATTGTCCGTGAAAAACAGATTGCATGCCTCTGCTTACTATTTGTTGGGACACCACATTAAGCATTTTACAGATGAGGAAGTAAGCTCATACCGGGGAAGTGGTGGCCGTGGAAGTAAGCTCATACCCGGGAAGTGGTGGCCGTGGAGTATGAATTGAGACCTGATTTCAGAACTCACATTCCTAAGCATAGGTCACACTGCTGCTCAGAAGAACATTAAATCATTAGTAAGACAGAAAAACTGCCCATGGTTTGTTTCCTTTCCCTTCGGAGTGGGGAACCAAAAAAAACCACGTCTAGCTGGCTTGCAAAAGGGCTTATTTCTGTGAGATTTTAAGTGCTGATCTTTTTAAGAGTTCCTCCTCCGCGAGTTTGTCTGTGAAGTGCCCCAGGGCAGGGTTACGAGAAAGAAGGAATGAGTCCCTGCTCCTAACACCTGGAATAGACTGAGTCTTCCGCCTCCTAGGTCCTGAATGGAGAGACCAGAACCAGAAGGGCGGCAAGAGAACAGGAACAAAGCGGCAACTAGGACAGCAGCAGAGAGCCTTCCAGCATATGCTAATCTCCCCTGGGAGAAAAAGAAGTATTGCAGGCTTGTCATATGTATTGGTAAGGGCTGCTTTTGCTTGACTTGTAACCATTCATTCAATGAGTGCCTCACAGGTCTGGTGCAATGCCACATGTTTAAGATGCATCAGTGTACTTTAAAAAGGTAAAGATCCTTGTCCTGGAGTTCACATTAGAGGTAGGAGGAAAATGATAGCACAATAATTATAATAAATAAATCACCTTATACAGTCATATGTGCTATAAAGGAAAACGGAAACGGTAAGGGGGTATCAGAAGTGCCAAGATCATACTTTTGCTCATCCGTTCAAGAAATAATTATTGAACATCTACTGTGTGCCTGGAGGATGTGGCAGTAAATAGGACGGATGGGGTCCCTACTCTGCTGGAGCTCATGGCTTAAATCTCTACTGAAACAAGTCAAGGGACTAGGTTCATCAACAGTGGCCTAAGACAAGCCATGACAATTCAAGTAGTACATTATCACCAGGCATTCAAAGGCACTGAAGCACTTACAGTCCTAGGAAATATCAGAGAACACCAGTGATGTCAAATTGAGTAAAAGAAAATTTTTTTTCTTGAATTTGCCCCCATCTATAATTATGTATCTGTTGAAAAAATATTCCAAGGTTGCCTGGGTGGCTCAGTCAGTTAAGGGTCTGACTCTTGATTTCAGTTCATGATCTCAGGGTGCATGTTGGAGCCATCCTTCGGGCTCTATGCTGACAGTGCAGTGCAGAGCCTGCTTGGGAGTCTTTCTTCTCTCTCTCTGCTCCTCCCCAGCACTCTCTCTCTCTCTCTCTCTCTCTCAAGAATAAATAAATAAATAAACCTCAAAAATCCTTGGAGTTAAAAAAAAAATGGGGCAAGTAGAAACATGCCCATATAAGAACTACATATCCCCCTTTGATTTTAATGTAGTCATGTATTTTGCCAAAGAAATAAGTTATAAAAAATATTTTTATTCTAGTTTGGCATAGTAGCATGCAAGTCTTTTCCACTGATTACAACTAAAAACTAAACCAAATGCAAAAGCAATTATCTGAGGACCCCGGTGGGGCAGGGAGGGAACGGTGGATTGTGGAAAAGCCACCTAGACAGAGGAATGAAGGTGAAATAAAATCATCCTCAGATGAAGAAAAATTAAGAGAATTTATTGTCAGCAGGACTCAGCTACACGAAATGTGAAAGGAAGTTCCTCATAGTGAAGGGAAATGATACTGGAAGGAAAAACCTGGATCTCTCGGAATGAAGGAAGAGCAACAAATGATAAATATCTAGATAAATCTAAGATTTTTCCCACTCTACATTCTTTTTTTTTTTTTACAAATAGTTTATTGTCAAATTAGTTTCCACATAACACTCAGTGCTCATCCCCATAAGTGTCCTCTTTCCCACTCTACATTCTTAAAAAGAATATATATATATATAATATATATAAAAAGAATAATTATATATATATATATAATTGAAAGCAAAAATTTTAACATTGTCTACAAAAGGTTTTGATGATTGTAAATGCAATTCATATGACAACTATCACAAAGATTGAGGTTTCAAGGACCCATATGGTTGCCATGCTCCTACATATTACGTGAAGCTTCTACTTGTTACAATGAAGAAGAATTTTGTGTTCTTATTCTAAGCAGACTATGAAAAATTTGTTATGTATATTGCAATTCCTAGAATAACTACCAAAATCAAAAAGAAAACCCAAAGAGGTGTAATTGCCAAAGTTCCAATAGATAAAATATTCAAATAATCCAAAAGGAGGCAGGAAAGGGAAAACAGATGTAAAAAGAGGAGCAAACAGAAAACAAGGTCAACCTAAATCCCACCATAGCAGTAAATTACATTAAATATTAAAAGTCTATGGGGTGCCTGGGTGGCTCAGTCGGTTAAGCAGCCATCTCTTGATCTTGGCTCAGGTCAGGATCTCACAGTTCATGAGTTTGAGCCCTCCATTGGGCTTTGCACTGATGGCATGGAGCCTGCTTGGGATTCTCTATGTCTCCCTCTCTCTGTCCTTTCCCTGCTTGTGCACTCGCTTTCTCTCAAAATAAACAATATATATGAACAGTCTCTACATAGTCCAGTTAAAATTGACAGAGTGAATTTTAAAAAGGACTATATGCTGCCTATAAGAGAAAAACTAAATATTAAAGACACAGATAAGTTGAAAGTAAATGAAGGGGCGCTGGAGTCTTGTTTTTTGGGAGATTTTTGATTACTGATTCGATTTCTTTACTGGTTATGGATCTGTTCAACTTTTCTATTCTTGTTTCAGTTTTGGTAGTTTAAATGTTTCTAGGAATTTATCCATTTCTTCCATATTCATTTTATTGGCATATAATTGCTAATAATATTTTATTATTCTTTGTATTTCTGCTATTTTGGTTGTGGTCTTTCCTCTTTGATTCTTGATTTTATTTATTTGGGTCCTTTCCTTTTTCTTTTTGATCAAACTGGCCAGGGGTTTATCAATTTTGTTAATTCTTTCAAAGAACCAGCTCCTGGTTTCATTGATCTGTTTTGTTATTGTTTGGTTTTGATAGTATTGAGTTCTGCTTGATACCTATCTTTCTGCTGGTTTTGGGGGTTTTTTGCTGTTCTTTTTCCAGCTCTTTAAGGTGTAAGTTTAGGTTGTGTATCTGAGACCTTTCTTCCTTTTTAGGAAGGCCTGGATTACTATATACTTCCCTATTTTTATCACTTTGCTGTGTCCCAGAGGCTTTGGGCTGTGGTGTTATCATTTTCATTGGCCTCCATGTACTTTTTAATTTCCCTTAAAAACTGAGAGCTTTCCCCCTAAGGTCAGGAACATGACAGGGATGTCCACTCTCGCCACTGTTATTAGCCTCAGTCTTAGCCTCAGCAGTCAGACAACACAAAGGAATAAAAGTCATCCAAATTGGCAAAGAAAAGTCAGACTTTCACTCTTTGCAGATGACATGATACTCTATATGGAAAACCCAAAAGATTCCATAAAAAACTGCTAGAACTGATCCATGAATTCAGCAAAGTTCCAGGATATAAAATCAATACACAGAAATCAGTTGCATTCCCATACACCAATAATGAAGCAACAAAGAGAGAAATCAAGGAATCAATCCCATTTAAAATTACACCAAAAACCGTAAAATACCTAGGAATAAACCTACCCAAAGAGGTGAAAAATATATACACTGAAAACTATAGAAAGCTTATGAAAGAAATTGAAGACCCAAAAGCAATGGAAAAAAATTCCATGCTCCTGGCTTGGAAGAACAAATATTGTTAAAATGTCAATACTACCCAAAGCAATCTACATATTCAGTGTAATCACTATCAAAATAACAGCAGCATTCTTCACAGAGCTAGAACAAACAATCTTAAAATTTGTATGGAACCAGAAAAAACCCCGAATAGCCAAAGCAATCCTTAAAAAAAAAAAAAAAAACAAAGCTGGAGGCATCACAATCCCAGA